AGGCGAAGTCTGGCTGGGATGAGCTGTGCCGGAGCCCATCGTGCTGGACCTGGGGTTCGTCCTGCCAGGAGACCTGTTGGAGGGACCGAGCGCTGGCGATTGCCGGTGTTTGCCAGGCTGGTGGCACCATTGGAAAACGCGACTTTATCTCCTGCCTGGGTGTTGGTGGCAAGCAGAGCGCGGAGCCAAGTCCCGGAGGACTTTGCTGCGTCGCTGCCCTTGTCCCGAAGGCATTTCTGCGCCGAGCGGGCAATGGCGTGGCCGTCCGCCCCGCAGGATCCAAAGGCCGTGCCGGCAGCCTGCGTTGCGAAAGGGAATCGGTACGGCGAAGCGTCTGGAGAGAAACTTTGGCTGCCCGTGAGCGTGGTGGTGCCAGGCTCCTCTCTGACTCACGGGGGACGTTGTCGGTGGAGCCGTGGGGCACCCGGCCGCTGGCCCACAGGAGCAGGAGGCACCAGACCGGTCGCACGGGTTGTGCGGGAGCGTGGCGGGTGCCGTGCGTGGCTCGTGGGCACGTCGGCACGGCCCTGGCCCGGCTCCGGCGAGAGGGAGCCGTGTCGTGAGCCAGGAGAGGGCTGGACACGGTGCGGTGGCTGTGGTCCAGGGAGGTACAGACACCCGAGGTGGGTGGTGGGATGGACACCGGTAATCGCTGTCTGCAGGCACCGCTGTGCGGGGGAGATACTCCTCTGCCCTCAAGTGTTATCTCGGACGGAGAAAAAATTGCCAGTGAGTTTTGTTGCAGCCGCAGTGGGAGCTCTGGGAGCAGCCCAGCTGCCCGGCCCAGTGGTGCGGCCCTGGTGAGGGCAAGGCAGCTCTAGGCAGCCTCTGCCTCCTGGCTTTGCTTGGCCCTCTGACAAAACGAAGGCGAACAGCGTCTTCCCACTGTGCAGGGAGAAGGTGAGGATTAGGACTAGCACAGAGCAGGGGATAGAACTGTGCTGGGCTCAAGTGAGGATGGGTCGAGACTGACCCACATCATTTTGCATTCACGTCAGGCGCAGCACATCCCAAGGACGGGCACTGCCCACCAGGGAGGTACCAGGGCAGCCCCCGGCCATGCCAGCCCTGGCCCTGGGTGCAGAGAAGGCTCAGGCAGCTCAGGGTTTTTTGGGAGAGGGGGGAGTTGCATTATCCATCCTGCTGGCTGACCTGGCGCTGGAGGTGAGCACCCTGAATTTGCCACCCCGCAGCAGCACACGCTTTTGTACCCGCAGCCCCTCGCAGAAGCAAAATTATCGAGTTTGCTGGGAAAACCCACCCAAGCGGCTGCCAGCGCTGGTAAGTTGTGGCAGGCTCTGACCCACGGTGGGGTTTTGGTTTTGCACGACGCATCCCTGGTGGCTTTGAGAGCCTTGGGGCGCCGGGGGCCGCCTGCGGCCGCAGGTAACACATCTGGGGGTACAGGGGAGCCTCTGGCTGGCGCAAGGGCTGGGGGGGCCTGAAATCAGCTTTGCCGGGAGGCAGCCGTGATCTGGAGGAGGGAGCTGCCATTTTCAGGTGGTTACTTTTAGAAGCAGAAGTGCAGGGTAAAATCTCCTCCAAATGTTGCTGAATCCAGAGCCAAATCTCTTGGTGGCTCTGCCGTGCTGGGTATCAGCTTGCTGTAAGATTATTTTTTTTTTTCCCCCTTGAGCATCCTGCGTGTCTTCAGGTTAGATAGTGGTGGCATCCTGTCAGGGGGTACCTGATACCCTGATGATGAGTGCTTCCACCTCGAGAAGTGTCCCGGGTGCCAGCTGAGGGCTCTCGGGATGGGTCTCAGTGGCTGGGGTGATGCTGACGTCTCTGTGTCCCTGTTCCCTGCTGCAGGCGCTGGTGAGGCTGCGGCCGTGAGTGCTCGTTCCTTCTCCACCGTTCCTGCCCGCCACCGGCGGATCTCCGGCACTGCACAGCCATGACGACCTCGGCGCTGCGCCGGCAGGTGAAAAACATCGTGCACAACTACTCAGAGGCAGAGATCAAGGTGCGGGAGGCCACCTCCAACGATCCCTGGGGACCCCCCAGCTCCCTGATGTCAGAGATCGCTGACCTCACCTTCAACACGGTGGCCTTCGCCGAGGTCATGGGCATGATCTGGCGGCGGCTGAACGACAGCGGCAAGAACTGGCGTCACGTCTACAAAGCCCTCACCCTCCTGGACTACCTCATCAAAACCGGCTCTGAGAAGGTGACCCACCAGTGCCGGGAGAACCTCTACACCATCCAGACGCTGAAGGACTTCCAGTACGTGGACCGCGACGGCAAGGACCAGGGCATCAACATTCGGGAGAAGGTGAAGCAGGTGATGGCGCTGCTGAAGGACGAGGAGAGGCTGAAGCAGGAGCGGGCGCACGCGCTGCAGACCAAGGAGCGCATGGC